CATTCTTTCTTTCACTCACTATATAATTATACCACAATTCACTATTTATTGAATAAATATGTCTAATTATTATTATTAGCATTTTCTAGACTAACGTATGCCGCAGATGAATAATGGGATGATGATTTATATCATGAAACTCACTTGACTTTTATCCTCCTTTCTTGTGTTTCCCTTTGGGTTTTTCGCCTCAAGCTTTGTAATGGAATAAGAAAAGGATAGAACTTTATGACTGGTTGCATTTTTCTCCAAGCAGTCGCTTATCGTTAAGCACTATTATGGCAATCGCAATTGTTAAAGCTTGTCAGTTTTCATCTTAGATACACCCCCAATGAAAGCATTTATTTCTACATGTTGTCATTGGGCAATACCTAAACACAGCTTGCAAAATATGCAGGCATTAAGTCTGAAGCTTTTACAATCCCTCCTGGGCAGCGAGAGAGGAAGTCAGAGAGGATACAGGCTCGCAGTGACTCGTGGGAGAAGACATGCGCACTCTACTAGAGCGTGCCTCAAACTCGTGTTAGCTTAGTGCTCCATTTTACAAACGTGTATACATTGCATTAATGGTTTTAGTTGATCTGATGTCATGATAATACTGGATATTCTCTTTAGGAGTCATACATCGTGGCATATATTTATATGCATGTCTTGCACTAAATATTAATTATTTAACTGGATAGTATTTTAGCACTTTTTTTAAAAGGTCAATTTGTCTAAAACTATCATTTTTAGCTGTTTTTAATTTTATTCTGAGGATATTTGGGGTTGGTATTCTGAGTGGCAGCATGCAAATAGAACCCACTGCTTGTGAATGTACTTTATTAATGTGTATATCAGTAAAGTGTTCGTTTTTACAGTTGGCGCCTTCCACTTGGCAGTCCCTGCCTAGATCTGGGTTAAACTATATTCCTTTGTGTTTGCTCAAGCTATGGTCCTAGGGCTACCTCCCTCTTTTAACCCCTTAAGGACACAACTTCTGGTATAAAAGGGCATCATGATGGAATATTTCCCTCATGTGTCCTTAAGGGGTTAAGGAATTTTGTACAAATCTCCCCTAGCATTGTAAATGGTGAATGCCTGTATTTATGATACATTTAAAGCTTGTTCTTTGAGATAATCGTTCTTTTTTTTCCCAGTAGAACCTGATTGTTGGCTGACAAAGTTCACAGTAATTATCAGTAATTATAAACCATAGAAGATTGTGCGTTCCTATTAACCCATAAAATACCAGATCTTTGTATCCATTAGTCTAGTGTTACACCGTGTGGGGCTATAAAAGGTGTTTACAGATCAGTCAAATACTCAGACAGGGAGTATTCAATAAACTGAGAATTGTATTCCTCAGCTTTTTTTTTTGCTTCAGCTATTTTGTCTGAATTTTGCAAATCGGAAGTTTATTTTCCACACCCGTCGCTTTGGTGAATAGCTACAATTGGCAGATTATCCAGGTAGAATCAGGAGAGGTGGATCATATTTCGCAGAGAATCAGTGTCTTTCTTTATCAGTCGTCCACGTGAGCCATCGCTGACAGGCTGCTCAGTTCCTGTGTTTGGGAATAAAGTGACAGAAAAGGTTATTTCTAGTTAAACCCTTTCCCACAATTGTTAAAGGCTACCCGGGGGCGGACCTGAAATGTAATATCAATGGTCGGTGAAAACAGGAAACTGCAGTGAAGGTACGGAAGGGAAGGGGGACAGGAGGGGGTAGAATGGAGAGAAATGGGGAGATATTCAGTAAATCACTAAATACAGAGAATTGGCAAGGGAATTGAATTTGAATATAGACTTCGAACTCTGCCATTTCATTTAAATGGGTATCTCCCTTTTTTTGGGGTTCAATGGAATTTATCCATTGTAATCCACTCTACTCTTTTTGTACCCTTGTTTTTCTTTTATACATTTTTCTTATTCATTTTCAATCAGTGGCATATTATTTATGCCCAAACTTATAAACATTGTGAATACCACTTAAAGAAGATTGATTTAACCACCTTTTGGGAAAATACCCAATAAGGATATCTATTCCAGCACATATGTATGTAATATCACCTTTTTAATGTATAAAAATATATGTACCATCGGCACTGTATGCACCTTTAACAATGTAAATATATTAGTCTATATGCACCACAAATTATATTATATCACTAGGAATTTAATATTTGACATCATGCAATTTTACTGTCATTCCAATTCTGCAGCCCTATTGGTTTTTTGTTTTTTGTTTTTTAATTTGGCTGGATGGCGATCACATGATTAGATGACGTCACTTCCGCCAACCACCCAGTTGAAAACAAGCACTTCCGCCAACCAATGCTGCCTACCAATGAAAAAATAGACAAATAAAGGCGTCAACATCATTAACCTATTAAAGGTACACACATACACACACATTATGTGAAATTGAATCTGATTGGACAGAATTAACTTAACTCATTAAAGGGGAAGACCCAGATGACATTTAAAATGGAGGATTCAGAGGACCAACATTACAGCTGACTGAAGAAGCTCTATTTGAGAGTGAAACGCGTATTGGCCATTTTTAAAGGACTTTTATTTGAGGACTTTTATCATCTTTGTTTTTATGTTTATTTTATGTTTATTTTAAACTAATAAATTCACCATTTTTATTCAATACCTCATCCAAGTTCCTTTTGGAGCCTCCAAGGAATCCTCACAGGGGTAGTGCCATCCCCATTCAAACTGGCACAAAATCCACATACCTAGAGCCGGGATTCGTAGGCTCAGGACCAGGTGAGCACCCCATTTATTGAACACATATCTGTGCCATCTACCACCATAAGTCTACACATTGGTTTGCTTTCTTCTCTTTTTTTCGTGTTCCTGAGAAATTCTTTAAGCCGAAGTAGGAGGGTGGTGCTACCATAACAGCACACAAGCCTTTATACGGAGCCAGTGTTTTCTATATACAGGCTCCTTGAAATGTGAGTGTAATATTCAACACAATATTATTATAATCACTGTGAAGCCATTTTTTTTTAGTACCGTCTACACTATATTGTATTTTCTGTATTTTATGTTGACATGTACCCCATATTTTACCATTGAATGAGACTACGTTTTGGTAAGATTTATCTGTGTTTGAGCGCTCCACTTATAGGTGTAGGTCCTTGTCACTTAAACCGCACCAATATCTACTAAATTTATTCAGTGGAATAGAGGATATTTCCACACTAGTGTATTGAGCTGCCTGTAAATCACTTTTTGACTCTTTTGAGCACTTTTGTTATACACACTCCTCTGTAAAAAGAGGCAACCTTTGATTGGTATTCATAGATTCTATATATCCTCGTGTGTAAACATAGCCATTATGTCATTATTCGAACAAAAAAAAAAACAATGTACTAACATTGATGAATTATTTGGGGAAGAAGAATTTGTCTTCAACCAAATTGATAGAATGGAAGAAAAATCTATATTTGACTGCCAGAGAATACTTGAAAAAACATTAAGTAAGGAGACCAGAATTAAATGGGAAATTGCTACTCTGGAAAAATACATTCGTGAAAAAATCACCCCAAGGGGACTCAGGTTTTTTAAATTCCCTTCATTTGATCAGGAAGATAAAGCATTTATGGACGACTGGGCCACTATGCTTGATTCCTTCTCCTTTGTTATGATGCAAAAAATCATAACTAGGAGGAAACTTACACTAGATAAATTAGACATGGAAATTAATAAAGAACAAAATTTTCTTATCAATCACACTAACACAGACGAATATAAAAAGATCACGGATAAAATCCAATGTGTTATAGACAAAGTAGAACAAGAAACTATACAAATCAAAAAGAGTAAATATACACGTGATAAGAATGACTACAGACGCAATGAAGTTAGGACATTTGGGAAAAATCGAAAACCAGAAAATCATAATACATATGATCAATACAGACACAATTCTTACAATCCACATCACGCACGCACAAATTATCAACCAAGGGCAAACCCATTTAGGGACCATCACAATAAGAGACCTAGAGAGAGAATAGAACCTAAACCTTCCACAAGTCCCCATGGGAGAACCCACACACCCAACATGAGAACTCCTATCCAGATGGAAAAAAGAGCAAAATCAGATGAATTCTTAACAGCACAAAGCAAATTCAGACACAATCCTAGGAGAATATCCGATATTTCCACCAACCATAGATTTGAACCTCTTGAAAAAATCACAAGGGAAGAGGATTTTTGGAGTCTGAGGAACAAAGACAAACACAAATTCCTCTCACGCCAAAAATCACCAAACAAAAGACAAAGGAGCACGGAAGAAGGGGAAATAGAGGAGGCGTGGACACACAGAGGAGGAAAGAGGGACAAACACAACCCATAAAAAATCAAAAGGAGATGGAAAAAGAAGCAGGTATCTTTAACCTCACCTGCACTACATTGAACCGTACACAAATTAAATTACTACAGAAGGGTCTAAAATTTGCACCCACTAGAAATCTTAACAAATTTGAGACGTATGTAGATCTAAATAAATTTAAACGCACCTTATGTTTGAAAAAATTTTTCCAAAAAAATCCCATAACCAATAGCCTGATTAATACAGAAAAGTATACACACACGACATTAAAAGATAAGTCCACGTTTTTTCCAAAACACTTAATCTCAGGAGAAATGACCACCTATGAGAAAATGGTGATGTCAGACATCAATAAATTAAAAAAAGCGAATCGTTACCAACAAAACCTTCAAAAAGATGAGTACAAAGTTTTAAAAAAACTACAGAAAGATAATGACATCATCATTAAACCCGCGGATAAGGGGGGGGGAATAGTCATTTTAAATGTTAAAGACTATCACACAGAATGTATGAGGCTACTTAACGACCACACAACCTACACACAACTAAAAGGAGATCCAACTATTGAAATTAAAAATAAATTTTACGATCTCATAACCAAGGGTTTACAAAAGGAGATTTTAAATAAAAAAGAATTTGAGTATCTAAACGTAACACACCCTAAGATCCCGGTGTTCTACTACCTCCCCAAGGTGCATAAAAACCCCATAGTTCCACCTGGAAGACCTATCGTCTCAGGCATCAACTCCATATCATGTAGATTTTCGGAGTATGTGGACAGATGCCTCCAGCCTATAGTGCAAGGCATCCCTAGTTACCTTAAAGACACAGGGAGCATTCTGAGACATTTACAGACCATCAAATGGGAACATGACTATTACCTAGTAACTGCTGATGTCAGCTCTCTATACACCATTATCACACACCAAAAGGGCTGTGCAGCAGTACAATTCTTTTTAGAACAATCTCAGAAATTTGAGTCAGATCAAATTGATTTTATCATTGAAGGGATACAATTAATTTTAACCAGTAATTATTTTTGGTACGATGACACTTTTTACTTACAGGCATGTGGGACGGCGATGGGCACCAGGTTCGCACCCAGCTACGCCAACCTGTTCATGGCAGACTGGGAGCGCCAACACTTACAACTTAATGAGGGCTGGGTAGGGGGCCTGGTGACCTATCGCCGTTACATAGATGACCTGTTTTTATTTGGAAGGGCACAGAAGATACGCTACAAAGTTTTTTAAATCAATTAAATAATAATGAATGGGGCATTATTTTATCAACAAATTTTAGTAAACACACGGTTACATTTTTAGATTTGGATATTTTTATTGATGATGAAAAGATCAAGACCAAGACACACTTTAAAGATGTAGATGTGAACAGCTTTATCCACACCTCAAGCTGTCACTTTTCCCCTTGGCTAAATAGTGTACCTAAATCACAACTTGTACGTATAAAAAGAAATTGCACGGACAATGACACCTTCAAGGAACAAGCAGACAAATTAATTACCGACTTGTTAGATAAGGGCTATAAAAAGGAGACCCTCAACGACACTTATACACAAGTTTTAAAAATTTCACAGAGCACTTTATTACAAGAAAAAAACAAAACGCAAAATGAATGTGAGGTCAATTTACCTATTGTATGTAATTACAGCCATAACAATAAGGCATTAAGGAAAATCCTAAATAAACATTGGCCTATTTTACTTCAGGACCATGCCCTATCCCAGATTCTACCACCAAAACCCAAGATAATATTTAGGGGTGCAGCTAATTTAAACCGACTTTTGGTAAAGAACCACATTAAAAAAACTAAAACTACTACCTTCCTAAATAAAGGAAAGGGTTTTTACGGATGTGGTACTTGTCTTGCGTGTAGGAACACCAACAATAAAAAGAGACATATTAAGACTTTTAAGAACTGCAATAACGATGAGGAATTCCCTATTAAAGAACTTATAACTTGTTACTCAAACAACATAATATATTTATTGGAATGTCCTTGCGGTTTAAAATATGTGGGACGCACCAAACGGAATTTGCACACTAGGATTGAGGAACACACTAGAAATATAAAGAAAAAATTTGAAGGACACAGTGTATCACACCACTTCACCCTAGCCCACAATAGTGATCCCACTCAATTACTCTTTATGGGTATACAAAAGGTTAAGGGGAATTGGCGGGGAGGCGACCTTAATAAATTACTGGGACAGAGTGAGATGAGGTGGATATTCAACCTCGGGACCTTAAAGCCCCGGGGTTTGAATATAGACTTCGAACTCTGCCATTTCATTTAAATGGGTATCTCCCTTTTTTTGGGGTTCAATGGAATTTATCCATTGTAATCCACTCTACTCTTTTTGTACCCTTGTTTTTCTTTTATACATTTTTCTTATTCATTTTCAATCAGTGGCATATTATTTATGCCCAAACTTATAAACATTGTGAATACCACTTAAAGAATATTGATTTAACCACCTTTTGGGAAAATACCCAATAAGGATATCTATTCCAGCACATATGTATGTAATATCACCTTTTTAATGTATAAAAATATATGTACCATCGGCACTGTATGCACCTTTAACAATGTAAATATATTAGTCTATATGCACCACAAATTATATTTTATCACTGGGAATGTAATATCTGACATTATGCAATTTTACTGTCATTTCAATTCTGCAGCCCTTTTTGCCTTTTTTTTTTTTTCTTGGCTGGATGGCGATCACATGATTAGATGATGTCACTTCCGCCAACCACCTGGTTGAAAACAAGTACTTCCGCCAACCAATGCTGCCCATTGGTTGGTTTTTTTTTTTTGTTTTTTTTTGGCTGGATG